GCTGTTCTCAAACTGCTGGGCTCAAGCAATCCTCCTGTCTTGGTCTCCCAAAGTGGGATTATAGGTGTGAACCACCATGCTCAGCAAGTTTCATGCATCTTAAATCAAAGATATAGGCTATTATAACTTAGCTTTCTAATTTGTTTTAAACTCCACAATTATTTATATAGTTTGCTTGCATATAAATAAAGTTTGAGCAAATTGAAATATTCTCTTGAACATTTTTCAAAGTTTTGTATATTATTTGTAGAAATCATCTCCTCATTTTCTGTAACTAACAGATATAAGACTGGAAGACATTTCTTTAACCATTTATTTTTGAAAGAACTCCAAAGCAGATTGCATCTAGAATCAAGTTTTTAATACCTTTTCTTTCTGAAAATCTCTCCTCTTTGTTCCACTCTCTGGCTTACTTTTTGGAAGGGCAGTTTTCTTTTAATCAAAAATTCACATAACATAAATTTGCAATTTTAGCGATTTTAAAGCGGCTTTTAGGATATTCGAAATGTTATGCAGATATCACCACTATCTAATTCCAGAACTTTTTTGATCACCTTATAAAGAAATCTCATGCCCGTTGGTTTCCATCTTCTTCCTCCATCTCGTTCTTGGCAACCACTAATCTACTTTCTGTCTCTATGGATTGTCTGTGCAGGACATTTTATGTAAAGGAAATCATACAATGTGTAACCCTTTATGTCTGTCTGCTTTCACTTAGCATAATGTTTTAATTTTAAAAAGTCACCCATGTTGTATTACATCCATGTTGTATCAGTACTTACCTCTTTTTTGGTGACGAATAATACTACACCATATGGCTAATATCACATTTGGTTTTTCATTCATCAGTTGATGGACATTTGATTGTGTCTACCTTTTAGCTATTATGAACAATGCTACTGTGAATATTCATGTACAAGTTTTTGTATGAAATATGTTTTTAATTCTCTTGGGTATGTACCTAGGAGTAGAATTGATGGGTGTGTGTGATAGATGTTTAAGTTTTTGATGGATGGCCAAATTATTTCCTATAGTGTCTGCACCATTTTGTATTTCTACTAGGAGTGTATGAGGGTTCCAATTTCTCCCCATGTTTGCCAGCACTTGTTAACTTTTCTTTCTTTTTTTTTTATAATCAATATTTTTTATTATGATATTGTGGGATACAGTTAAGGGTTAGGTATACAAATATGCTTTGTTCAGGCACCCTTGTTGATAAGAGGTGTCTTCCCGTCCCCAGACAGATATTTACTATTGTTAATCCCATCTCCCTTCCCCTCCCCCCCATAGTTTCCCACCACTGTCATTTATTTTCTTATAGTATTACGTTGGATGTTCAAGATCCACTATGTGAGTGAGAACATGTGATACTCAGATCCCTGTTTCTGTGAGAGGTCACTCAGTATTATAGACTCTAGTTCCATCCAGACTGCTGCGAAATTCATGATTTTGATCTTTTTTATGGCTGCATAGTATTCTATTGTGTATATGTACCACATTTTTAAAAATCCAGTCCTCTTTTGATAGACAGCATGGTTGCTTCCAGGTTCTTGCTATTGTGAA